TTTTCTTGGACACCCTTGTTCAATAACAAGGTGACATCCCTAGGTTAAAGCAATTGGTATCTCATCGCATCTTTCTATTTGTTCTTACTGGTTTCTCCAGTTAAACTCTAAGCTGCTTGAGGTCAAACTTTAAATCATATTTATTCTTGTGCCTGCTATCATCACTTCAGTTCTTGCGCCATAGGCCATCAATAAAGGGAGGCTGAATTACACTTCGAAGAAACTATGTCATAGGAGCCTCAGAGATGTAGTTTTCCTTTCAGTCAAATCTGCATTTAATGCATTGTAAGAAGACTAGTGCCTAAGATCAATACCTCAGCTTTTGAACCGGCCACCCACCAGTACAAGATCAGATTCCCCTAGCTTACATCAACTCAGTCACGTTTGGATAATGCAGTGTTGTTTCAGAAAATGTAATTGAGATATCAAAATATGTCACCATGTTATTCTTCTTAGATGAAATGATGGTCATGAGCCACCATCACCAAGAATATATTTGAGAGCTTATTTTTTTACACAGTAATGATGATAGTTTCCCATTGATTTAGTCATTCTCTCTCATTGATCCCTCTGGCTATCAGTAAAGAGAAAGCCAAAATTGCCAGGATTTTCATGTCCGAGCTTGGAACTTTGTGAAACAAATTTACCTTCCCTGACCACCTGAGCTATTCACAGTCTATGGAGGTAAAAATTACAAAATAAGCATGTGAACAACACTTATTCTGTGATGACATAAATATCAGCATGGAGATGAAACTATAAGTGTATTTTGTTTACAGAAACTAAAATCTGTTTTTTAGGAATACTTTTCAGTCAATTGTCTACAAAAGTTTATATGGAAGTATCCATGGCACACTATTAACTTAAAAAACCTTACACTGCATAAGTGAGAAACGTATAATAAAAATTGTGCAAAAATGTTAAAAGATTTTTAGTTGGGCTAGTTGCAGTTAAATTTTTAAGTGTTTCCCAAGCTTTAACCTGAAGGTAGGAGTAAATGGAAAAGTCTGGTTGACTGGTTACCTTCAACTATGGCGTGTTGGAAGGCTAAGCATTGAGATGATCCTTGAAGAAGCACAGATCTTTTATTTTATTTTCGGATTTTTTAACATTAAAACTGATTTCTCCTTTATTAACATCTTAAAGAAAAGAAGTGGAAAATGGTTTTTATTTTATAGAAAGACAAATACAGCATCGAGTCAGGAGACTAGGATTTGAATTCTGTTTCTATGAACTACTTTGAAACCTTGAGCAAGTCATTGGTAGAGTTATAAAAATGGAATGTTCTCTATATGTTTAATCAACATCTGAATTCTGTGCATCCTTCTTTAAGAATGCCAAGCATTCCATTTGCAGCTAAATGAATACAATTGTATCTTACACATTCAGTTACAGGTAAAAATCACAGAATTTAAATGTTTCTCTTAGAAATTTTAATCATACATTAGAGTTTATTTATGAAAGTATTATTTTATAGTATTGTTATAAAACTTTGGATGAATTACCATGTTTGTTTCAAAATGTTCATTTTACATAGTTGCTCTTTGAGGATGCGTTTTGCTAAATACTCCTTCCTTAATGCAAGTTAGAAAGCAAAATTATGAACATTTATGTAATAACTTGATACTTACAAGTGTTATTTGGGGGTTATTTGAATTTATAAAATTTGTATTTTATAATACAGAGACAGGGATTTATCAATAAAATGCAAATATTTATAAAATGTAATAATATATCCACCACAATGAAAAAGAAAATATAAGAAATACATATTAAAGCATAAAAATATTGTATGTGGTTATTACTTGACTGAAACTTCTTGCCTTTGTAAGACACTAAATTGTTTAGCTCTTTATCTAATAATTTAATTTTAGGTATGTGTGAGGTGTATGTGTGCTTTTTTATTCAAGGTATTTTTTTTGTAAATTGGTGTAGAATTTTAATTTGTTCAATTCATCAATTAGATTACACAAAATAGTTTCCCTGTGATGCTCAGATTTTACTAAATAAAATCAATAAAAGACTTTACTTTTAAAAACTTGTATTTTTATTGCTATAATTAAGAAACTATTTCCTAAAATTCAAGTGGGAAAATACTTGTTTTTCCCAATGCCAAAATAATAGAACTTGTATTTTTATTGCTATAATTAAGAAACTATTTCCTAAAATTCAAGTGGGAAAATACTTGTTTTTCCCAACGCCAAAATAATGGAACTTGTATTTATTTACCTTAACTTGATTAAAGAATTTAAGCCAGTATCCGTGAGTCTGAAGCCTTTCCCTGTATCTCTTCCTTCCTGCAGCTTTCTCTTCCTCAGTCATTCTTACTTTTCATCACACGCAAGGTAAAACATGGTTTCACATGTAACAGTCAACTAATGGCAACTTGTTGATGGAATAATCCATAATTTTACACTTTTCCTTATAATGTTTATGTTTAACATTGAAAATATTTAATTTAAACCCATCATCCTCTAGGTGGCATATAATTATGAGCATTATAAGATACAGTTCAATGGTACTCAAACATATACCATTCCAGTATTGGTGTGCCTTATCTCCCATATTTTATATTTAACTGTTTAGCCTTTCTTACCAGTGACAATGACATTAAATCCTGACAGATATTCTTGACTTTCAGCTCACCAATAATTCCTTATAGAAATTCCTGCCATAATTTTTGGCAGACTAGTTATTTGCATTATCATTATCATAATTCTGAGACCTTGTTAATATTTTCATGTTAATTGGAATTATGTTAGAATTCATTGACTTTAATTTATCATTAACACAATTAAGGGCAAAAACTGATCAAAGTCAGTATAACTCCTTGCTTTCAATTTAGGATGTATCAATTCCGATACAGGTTAATAACTGTTGGACATAATGTACATAGTAATCACCCCACTGTTACCCAAATGTTAAACATAAGTAGGGAAACAATCAAATAACCTTTTGGTTCAGCTCCTGACTTATCTAGTAACCTCATGTCATGGCCACATATGAATATTTGCAGTAACTTCAAGTTTAAATACAGTTTTGAATGTTCTTAGTCAAGCCCTAAATTTAACTAAGTAAAATTTTCAAATTTAGAAAACCGACAATAAAGTCAGTATTCATAGCCCATCTTGATTTTTAATGTAGCTATCCGCATTTACTTAAAACCACCCCTTCTCAGTGGACTTGCTCAGTGTATTTCTGCCTATGTCTACACAAAAGGGAAATAAAAGCTCAGATACAGTTTGCATTAAAAGAAACCAGCAAAAATTCCTGACACTGGAGAAGGTAAGATTTTAAGGCAATAAAGGCAATATTCACTGACAAATTCCCTAGATAATAGCTCAACTTTCCCTTTCTATTTCTTGTGTAGCCTGAGACTTGCTCCTCTAAGGTGAAGAAGCCTACATCTCTCTCCACCAACTGCAAGAGAAAAAACGACACTTTAATTTATATAGCCCTCAAATTATAGTAATAATAATATCAGAAAATTTATATCAACACACTACATTCCTAAATGGAGCATCTTTTAAAGTGTCTAACATTTATTTCTGGATATTCTTATTCACATTGCTTAGAACACAAGCCCTATGACCAAGGGTTCCATGTAGTAAAATGCCATGTTGAAATGAATGCATTTTCATTATTTCTCTAAAAAATTAAACCATAAATTTTGTGGGGTAGTTTTGAAGATTTCCACATATGGGAAATTGAGAATACACACTTTATTATTGAAATGCTCTCTCCTGATGGTCATTTATTTCTCCATCCCCCTTGTTCATATCCATTCATTGAACACAACTCTATTTTCTCTCACTCCAACTAGAAATAATAAAATGGTAAACATGGTTTCAGAAGAAACGGCTACTGCCCTAAGAAAACTTCTGCAGAAATACCGAACAGAAATAGCGTCTGGTGCTAAGATATTACACAACTCTGGAAGCACCCAGGTAGCGCAGGGGCTTCTTGGTACAACGTTTTCTAATCCTCCTATATCCCTCTCTTAGCCACTACACCTAAAGAAAAATAAGAGCTTTGGCTTATTGCAATTTCAAAGAAGATTTTAAAGAGTAAGTTCGGTGCTACTCTCATCTCCTTCAAGAAAAAGCTTCTTATCCTCAAGAGTTGCTGAGCTTTTGATAGTGTTGTTGCTGAAAGAGATTCACCACCCAGGCAGGTCCTCTGTTCTTAACCTGGAAGTAAGATAAATTCCGCAGGAACAGGTAAAATAGGTGTGCTTCCTGTACTCATCTAAGACGCCTCTCAATGAACAGAACAAACCTAAGCAATGCAAACAGTTCTGCGCTTTAAAACAACAATATCAAAAAGTTTGGTTCCCAAGGGTTTGCTTTTTGGTCTTTATTTTTCCATGCTTAATCATACCCTGAACAGCCCAGGTGCTGAGAACACACAAAGTAACTGTAAGAAGCCAGAATCACAGCGTGTCTGTGTCAATTTCCTGAGGTGACTGTCAGAAAATCTGGAAAGGCACCATTGTGTCGAGGGAATGAGGTCAGAATTCACTGGGAAGGAATACGACGGGACAGTGGGGAGCCTGGCTTTGGGAAAGGAGGGAAGGTGGGTCAGGGCGGACTTTGTGGGGAAGGCTTTGTCAGCGCGAGATCGGGTGAAGGGTGGCAGACTGGGGCGTTTGCGCACTGACATAGGGGGAAACGCAGGGACGGTAAGGGTAGAGATGATCCTGTTTGGAATGACCAGAGGGTCGGGGCCATCTACTGCTGCTAGTGTGGGAGCCTGGGGGCTGGAAGGTGAGGCGGGACCGCGAGCTCCAAGCAGCTGAGAGGGAGAGGGGTTCAGGTTGCCAGCAGGTGGAGTTGAAATCAAACATCCTCTTGGGGACCACGGAGCAGCACCCTCCCTAGACCCTCTGCCCGGAGGAAGGGGATTCACAGCAGGTGGTTTGGGGTGCCTCCCAAATCAAAGGAGGTTCTCTCCGCTCCAGGCTTTGACGCCCGACCCCCTGCACTCTCCCGCCTACTCACCGGTCCTAGGGGTAAAGCGCCATCCGGGGAGCGCGCTAGGGCTGCGCGGCGCAGGAGGCAGACAGGGCCAGGCGGCGGCGGCGGCGCTGGCGCTGTCCTAAGAGCGGGACTGGAGCTGGGGGACACCGAGGCGGCGACAGCGGCGGGGGCGCCGGGAGCTGCAGGAGGGAGCAGTGAATCTGTAGCTGCTGCGCCGCGCGCGCTCTCTGCCCATCTCCGGCTTCGCTGAAGCTGCTACTGCTACAGCCGCTGGAAGGGAGGGAGGCGAGGGGGAGGGGAGGAGGCACGCGGTAGGGAGGGACGGAAAAGCAGGGAGGGTGGGGGGTGAGCAAGGAGAGAGGGGGAGACGCTCGCCCAGAGTTAAGGCGGTGGGGAGGGAGGCGCACCCGAGCCCAGAAAGGTCCCCACCAGATGAGCTCGGGGAAGAGAAATCGGAGATGAGGCGATGGGTCTCTCCTCCGCCCTCCTTCCACTCCACCTTCCTTCCCCCTTCGCGCCCTTTCCTTGGGCTCTTCCTTTCGTGGCTCAGGCTGGGGGTTACCCAAGCTTGGCAGCAGCCGCGGCTTCACCGCGCGGGTGCAAGTGCTGAGTCCGGGAGGCAGCGGCTACCGCTCTCGGCGCCGCCGGCCTGTGGCACCTGTGCGCGCACCCCGCCGCCCGCTCCACTGCGGCGGCTCCTGGACCCGGATCCGTAGCCTGTCGCCCTCCTTCTCTCCCCTTTCTGGACAGATTAGTATCCTACATGTGCATCCATGGCATCTGTAGAGTCCCCCGTTGCTGTTTGTTTCCCTGGGCGCTCTTTGGCACCGGCTGTCCCACCAGAAGGCGCCAGCAGGGAGCTCAATGCCGGCAACCATCGCCTGCCCCTAGGAGCTGTTGCCTGGGCAGGGGTGGCCAGCTAAGGAGGTTAAAAAAAAAAAAAAGAAACATATACATATATCATTTTGACCAATTGCCTCAGACCGTGTCCTCAGTGATCTAGGAAGGTTGTAAGTGTGAAGGGCATAGTGACTGACAGTCCATTATCTTCTGTCTTGGTTTCCTTCCTCCCTTTTCCCTGCATCCTAAAAACCTGGGGATCTAAAGATCTCTGGATCTCGTTATCACAGAGCTTTTTATTTCCCTCTGCATTTCCCAGGGTTGGTCCCGCTTTCCTATTGTGGATTTTCGTTTGCTCTATTAGACTCTAAATAGATCCTGTATATTCGCAAACTACAAAGAGGCGCATGCAAATAGATACTGTACTGAGGGCAGGTACAGGCGTGAGATAGAGAAGGTGAATTAACACATATTCAGTAAATATAAAAACAACTGGGACATTATTAACTGATTTCCATGAGCCATAATTTTATTTTATAATTTTCACGTCATAATTGGGGATAGACAGGGAGCAAGTAGATTATGTGTCTAAAAAATATGACTAGAAAAAAAAGTCTAGTAAAACTCTCCTCAAATAACATAGCACATGAAGTGAGCTGATTACTCCCAGACATTCCTACGAGGGAAAGAAATTCTGATTTTGTTTGGCTGGTTGGTTGTGTTGCTTTAAAAATAAAATGAAGTAATCTTTCAGTTGGTGGATTCATTTTTTTCAAAAGCCTAAAGGATCATAGTCTTTAGAATAAATAAAGTAGGCATTTCACTTTACATAAGTGTGTCTTACATAACAAATGTTCTCATATTTTAAAAAGTGCTCTCTTGACTGTAAATGCAATGTAGAAAAACATTTTCAATGGAATAGGCCATACCTAAATATTGATGAAAACCTCTAGATTTTCCTATATACAGTCACATGAAGGAAAAAACAATGTAGGAGGTAAAGTATTACTTGATAAACTGGACATTATCAACTTGCTAGAATCTATCCTGTTGGGTATATCTGCTAAGGAAAATATTTGGTTCAACATCTACCTAATGATCTGAAATAGAGAAGCATCTCTTATTGAGCAAACAAATGTCTAGTTACTCAAATACGCCTCCCTTTTGAAAGGCATGTGTTACTGTCTCCAGAGATCCAAAGGTATCTCATGCTAATTCACCCACTGATATTCTTTCAAAAAAGACCATAGAAAAAAAAGGCTGGCAAAGACCTACTATCCATTCAGCTCCCTAAGTCTTCTCAATGGTGCCTATGTTACAGAGGTAAAAAATAAATTTTGCAAATGCCAGAGGCTACTTGGGCAGGGGATGGTTACCAAGAATTAATTAACTCTCCATTTTCTCATTTCTGTTTAGAATATTTATCATCCCCTCCTTATTAAAGTAATTTACCTTTGAGAGTTTTTACTATTTTCCTCCTACATTTAATTATGAAACTGCAAAGCAGTAGCTTGTAGTCTCATTTTATGGTTCTAAAATGGCAAAGACAAATATGCAAACTCTAAAACCTTAAAGCAAAGCAAAGGAAAGGGGTGATGTTTAAAGCAGAGCAAGCAAACTTCTAACTCCTCCCTCCAGCTTACATTCCCTACCACTTGGCCCACCAAAGACTAGAACAGGATGATAAGCAATGAAATGGCATCAAACTCTCCTGCTGAAGGACTTGCATTTCAATTTAGATTCTGAGACTGGGAGAAAACTTCTCTGTCACCTTTGCTACAGCATTCTCTCTCCCTTTCATATTTCTTTCCCCTTCTACATGTCTGTTACTGTTGTACTGTGTTATGCATTACACCATGGGAAAACGAATTAATTAATAAAATAAAAACTTAATATTAAACACTGACCCTTTGAATTTATTTAGTTTAAAACAAATTCTCATGCTGAAATTTTTCTAAAACAAGAAAGGTTCAAAACGCTGTCTTTGAACTGATACTGCGTGAGTGCCAGATACTGGTTAGCAAAGGAAATATAATCGCTCTATTTATTGGACACATATTCAATGAGCACTCCCTGTAGGCAGGCAATATGTTAGGCCCCAGGGATATCACAGTTAAGAAAATTGCTAACTGTGCCCTTGCGAGACTTAAGAGTCCAGTGATACAATAGAAAAGCTTTATCACTATGAAAGATGTTCTAGTAATAATGATGATCATGATCAATTTCAAGCTTAAAGAAGAAATACTTAATAATTAAATTATAGGCATTGAAAACATTAGGAATAAAGGAAGATAGATTCTGAACCTCTGCTATTACCAGTTCTTATATGATCTGTTGAAGAAAAGAGGAAAATTGAAGGGCTAGTTAAGAAAGTCACATTTGTTGTAGTAATGAAACACAATGGATGTTTTTCAGGCAAGTAAAAGTTTTGGTGAGCCTTAATTTTAAAAAATAAGCATCTGCTTTTATTCAAAGTGAGAAAAGTAGAGAATAATAAATGTTTCTGAGGTTGCAGACACTTCTGAAAAATTATACATATATACTATAAGATACGTATGAGTAGCACTGCTGAATACATGAACTGAATCTATTATGGAGAGGATGGCAAAAATCAGCAGTTTTCCTTCTTTCCTCCCAAAGAATGTACCAAAGGAACAAGAAAAGAATCAAAAGAAAAAGAAATCACAAATTTTTTTTTCAGTAAAATCTAAAGATAGATAATCTGTGGTTTCCAAAATTTGGATATGAGATCCCAGAACTGCTGAGATCAACCAGAAGTCTCAGAAGAGAAAGAAGGAAGGTCAGATAGTGGGCCAAATGACACCTAATTTGAGAATGAACCAAAAAACAAAACAAAAAACAGGTTTTGGAAAGCGAGACTTTGACTCAGAAGAACAAAATTGATTTCCATTGGTTACGACAGTGGATTCAGGAACTGAAGTTGGGGTATAGCTGCAAAAGGAGGAAAGAAAGAAACATGATAAGCGTAGAGGACTCAGTTGTGGCTGATCTCTGGAAACCAACAGAAATACAATTCCGAAAGGTCAGTTTCTTGCTGTAACTTATGAAACCTGTATTTCTTGTTTGCACCAATCAGTGTAGGAACTGGAATTTGCAACACTCAATGTGGCTAATGAAAGAAGCCCACTTGGATGTGTCTTGCAGGAAGTAATGGAGGGATACACAAAAATTAAACAGAGGAGTGAAATTTGTACAAAACAGTCTATCTCTGTGGCAGCAGTGAAGAGAAGCCTTTGAAAACTCTAGATGTTACTTTACCTCTTCTTTTCTGAAGAATCTAGATGAGAAAGATTTAACTCAGTTATATATGAGTAATTGAAAAAAGAATGGACACATTGTCAGTACAAAAGTAGTATAGGAAAAGTCTTGCAAAGGAGTAGTAAAACGTATTAATTGTTGAAGATCACACACCGTAAAAATGTTGTCATGGAGAAATTGAGAAATTTGTTCTAACCTTATGGCAGGAATTTTCAAAAAGGCATAATGAAGGAATTGCCTCTGTAAATGAAAAATACAAGGTACAAATACAAGAACTTGGGAAGGGATGATTAGAGACAATGGAACCTAGTGACACATAGCTGGGGGAACTCAGAAAAGAAGAGAAGAAAAAGATACTTTCATGAATTAAGAATAAAAATGGAAGAATTGCAAGGTAAAATGGACACTGAGATAGACACAGTAAGGAAAAGAAGAGACTGAAATAACAAAGGCTAACAAAATGAAATGCAAGTAAAGAGAAAATACAAAGGATTAGAGAGAATATGATAGATGGACAAGATAGGCAATGGGAATCCAGTAGATACATAATTAGAGAAAAGAAAGAACTGATGGGAAGAGAAACAGGTAAATACATTATTAAAGAAAGAAACATTCTTCAAATGTTAGATGACTTGAAATTTCACTTCGAAAACAAAAAATGATTACCAGGAAAAATGGCCCCAGAATCATCAACACTGAGAAGTGTCCTAGAACAGTAACTAGAGTTTAAATATAAAAAAGAAATTTTTAGGCATGCAGGCAAAAACAGTCAGTAACTTATAAAAAAAATACTGATACTGGCCTCAGAAGTCTCCACTGCAACTTTAGTTGGAATCAGGCCATTCAATATCAGTGGAACCAAGCTTCCAAGAAACCAAAGAAAATAGAGTGAGAACTACAGTTTTCTTTTCTTTCTTTCTTTCTTTCTTTCTTTCTTTCTTTCTTTCTTTCTTTCTTTCTTTCTTTCTTTTTTTTTAACTAAATAGTTCTTCAAGTATAATGGGAATAAGCAATGTTGCACATGCAAGAAAGAACTCAGGGACTATTACTCTCATGAAATCACCTTCAGGAAATCACTAGAATAATGAATGAAATTCAGCTTTCTAAGAAATAAATAAAAGAGACATGCTGAAACAAGGACTGATTTTCAAGCTAATGCATTCTGATAGAATATGAGAATTAAAGCAATAGAATATTTAAAAAGCAATATAATATAATATAAACCTTATTGAAAAAATAGACTCTGACAATATAAAAATGATATGAGATATAATGGCATTGATTGTCTAATGGCTGGGAGTCCAACAAAACCACTTAAAAGGAACAAGTAAGTAGCATGACATTTAGGAACACAAAGATTAAATGTAATCCAAATTATTTGATAAATTATCTAGTCAAGTAGGAAGGCATGGAAGAATGAGAAACACTAGTTTTTATCATTACTTTAACTAACGGAAACAGTCTATATATAATAGAGCAAGACAGATAAATAATTACAAAAGTAATTCAGAAGAAAATGAAAACCTTTGTAATATTAAGAATACATACATAGGATGGGAGCGGAGCTCACACCTCTAATCCCAGCACTTTAGCACTTTTAGAGGCTGAGATGGGCAGATCTTTTGAGTCCAGGAGTTTGAGATAGCCTGGGCAATGTGATGAAGCCCTATCTGTACAAAATATACAAAAATCAGCCATGTGCGGTGGCACACTCCTGTAATCCCAGCTACTTAAGGGAGCTGAGGCAGGAGGATTCCTTGAGCCTGGGAGACTGAGGTTGCAGTGAGCCATAATCGTGCCACTGCACTCCAAGCTGAGTGACAGAGCAAGACCTTATCTCACACACACACACACACACAAACACACACACACACAGAAATAAAACAGAACACAAAGTGAAGGAATTTTACAACGTAACAAGTGAAAACATAACATAACATGGCAGTACTAAAAG